AGCGAGACTCCAAGACACGACACAGCCGGGCGTTGAGGAGAAGGTCGGACGGATCAAGCCCAGGAACTTGCAAGCCACCGCCAGCAGCAGCAGCCATGTGAGGATCGTGCATCGGAATAATACCATTCCGACGGATGAGCCGCTTCTGTCGCAAGATCACCGCTCGCTGCTCAGCGATCACCGACTGAGCGTGCCGCAAGGGTTGAGTACCGGTGGAACTGTACAACCGCACCGACTCCTGCAGCTGTTCGAAGTGTTTGGAAGCGATGCCCTGAAGAGTAACGAACGCCGCATCCCTCTCAGAAATGGATCGAAGAAGGACGTCGATCTCGGCGTCCCGATCCAAGACTTGCTGATGGTGGAGCTGGGCCTGACTCAACGCAGCGTCGACCTTGCTCTGCTCAGCTGCGATGGCCCGAGCAAGTTTCGCCTCACTCAGAGCTACAGCCTTCCGCAGCGACGCGAGGAGATTAGCCGATTGCTTGGCAGCAGCCTCCAATCGAGACACTTGCTGTTGAGCCGACGAGAGCTGAGTTGACAAGTCGACATTACTGAGAGCAAGCGAGTCCAGTCGCCGAGTCAATGCGCGGTTCTCCTCCTGAACAGCTTGGTTGTCAGCTTGGAGATCGCCGATGATCTTGGGGTAATCAAGAGCGGCGTAATTGCCTTTCAGGATATCCAACAGTTCCCCCGCGGAAGCAGCATGCAAAATCGCTCGCCGCTGTACAGGATCGGACGGTTCCACGGAACGAGTGAATCCGTAAGCCATGAGCCTCGCCAAGAAGGTCAATTCTTCTCGGCGATCATGCCCTTGCTCGTTAATTCTGGCCATGAGGGAGTCAAGACTCACTGGAGCAGCCGAGCTTGGCTGATTGGTGGCGCCCGAAGTGGTGTCGCCTGGCAAGCTCGGTGGACCAGGAAGGCGCACGCGAGAAGACCCCGCCGACTCCGCGTCAGACTCATGGGAAGTTGTCAGGTCGACCAGCCCAGCTTCATGCCGGTCGCTGACCCCACGAGTACCGACGGGTCGAGGAATCGACTCAGCTGGCACGCCTTCACCTCGACGAGGAGTTGGAGAAGAAGGATGGTTCCACGGGTTGTGCTAGAACAACATGCGAAGAGTAAGGAGCTGCCAAGTGAGTGATAGCGGAAGCAACGAACGTACCAAAGAAGGTGGTGGGGAGCCGCGAGACGTCATCAGCCGAGTACGGACCAACGGTGGCAGAACAAAATGAAGGATTAAGACACTCACCAGCTCGGCTCGTATCATAACCGGGGCAGTTGTGGTGTAGGGATTTCCAGATTCGACCATACGCCGACCTACTTTAGGTCAAGAATCGGCTCGGTCTGATAACCCAGAGCTTAGGAGCCAAGGATCACGGTAAGTACTCGGCGATCTGTCCGGATATGCTATCCGGATAGCCGCTGAGCTCAACGGCCGCCTGAAGAGTCGGTAGAGATCCGAAAACGACTACATTTCACTAGATATTTGTATGAGAAGCATAGGATTAAATAGGAGGAGCCGAAAAGGCTCCCAGAAGATAACAGAGCAGAATTTTCCTAGTCCAAGACAAGTGTACACTTTTCCGGTAAGTCCCTGCATAGGGCTGGATTATGCCTGCCGTCAATACTCGAGAGGCATAGCTTGTAGAGTATTGACTGGTAGCGCCAAGAGATTAGGTCGGTCCGGGTAGGACAAAGTCTCGCTACGCGCGAAAGAAAGTCCCGCATACTCAGCGGGCCGGTACGTCGGATAGCCCGGGTGCCGTAACACTTCTAGCTGAGCAGCCTCTGCGCTCGGTGACCTGTAAAAGCGCTCGCGCGCCGTCGTCCATCCTTTGGTGGAGGGCACAGGGTTGTGAACGAGCTCAGCCGAACCAAACTCGGCGGAGTCTCGGAAGTGATCTGACTTGGTTAGTCGGAACCGAGTGGAAACGAGCCACTCGTCTGTCCCGGAAGGGCCGGACCGCGAGGGGACCACCCTCTGCGCAGGCCATACAAACCGCCGACCTAACTCGGCGATTCGTTGTGGTTTGTGTAAGGAATCCACATCTGACGATATTTGTGTGTTCTACTACACCACATGGTGCACACACGAGGTGCCGTGCTCGTTGAATATACTCAAGCATGGTCAAGCGTCCCTGCTTCAGAGGCAGGAAAGCGGACCGTTGAGCAGTCTCGTCCTGCGGTTGTTTGAACGCGAGCCGTAGATCGGGTTTCTTGGACGCCATTGTTGGGAAGCAGGCGGGGTCAGCGACGAGCTTACCGAGCGCCCACTCCTTCGCTTTGCCACCTAGTTTGGCGAGGAGAACGCGAGTCCTCGCAAGCTTGGTGGACAATTGCCGAGCTTCAGCTGCGATATCCACCTCGCGGAACCACCAGTTTAGGTGAAGGCTACTGTTGCCTTCGCCACTGTAGGTGGCGACATCGAGCATTGTGATGTCGGTTTTGCTCTTGGACAGCGTGGAAGTCGACACTCGCAGACGTAGTTCTGTGAGTTCACGTGCCATGAACCCCTAAGTGGTCACGTGATTTTGGGCTTCCAAACCGGCTGTGAGTAGCGCCTGGATGACGGCTTCGCCGTATGCAGCGGTGAGGCTGTGTAGCATTTCCCACTCGATCGACGAGAGATGGGGGGAGCTAGTATGTTCGAGTGATGTAGTGGTCATCTTGGACGCGTCGTTCATCGATGCGTCTTTCATCTTTTGGCGTTGAACGGATTAGGAAGTGCTACCAGGTGTAACGGGCTAAAGACAACCTGTTACCAAGCACACACTGTAGTTTTAGGAAGCAGGTAAATTAAACTCTGATTGATTGGCGTGACGGCATCAAGGCCGTCACAGCCATTAACGATAGGCTTGGGATCAAATTGGCCACCGTGCACCCACGATGGCAACCATGTGACAAAGCTCTGTCCTAACAGTAGCCGGCCGTAAGGACTGGCCGTAAGAACAATTCTGTGCTAATAAACGCTGTCGCTTGAACCACAAAGATATATACATCTATAAATATAGATATAGATATATAGTTTAAGATTGAGCAAAAAGAACAATTCTGTGCTGGTGACAATAAGCGAATTGAACTTGACCATTGTTTTATATACGTTTTTTTAGAGAGCAAAATTCGATACTACACGCACTTTGTAGGCGGGCGTGTTGCCGACAAGGGCGTAGGATAAGGTTTTGAATGGAGCGATAAGACAACAGCACAACATGAGAGGTGTAAATTATGGTTATTTTAAGCTGACCCCATAAAGAAACGTTTAGAAATTAGACCTAATTGACATTTAACCATCCTGGAATCATATTTTAAGGACCAAATACAACAAAATCAACAGCAAGGCGTCTTGCGACGCATCGCTATATCCAAATGCTATAACCATAACTGGCACAGATTGGAGTGTCTAATGACTATATCTGAATTAGTACAAAATGAACACACTTCAATGTGTTACAGTTTGAATATTTTTACTTCAAAGTAGCTTTCATTGAGTTTCGTAGGAGAAATGATTAATATTCAGTTAATCACAAGCTTAAACAGGCAGTCCAAGCGGGTATTTAGTGCAGCTGGACAGGCCATTTCTATCCTTTGCATTGATTCGAGCTAAGTTTCAGAAACGGTCCATGAAATCCAACACGAATCTCAACTAAATATATTGTGTAGCGTTTGTAGAAGTGCTATTTGAAGTGCAGGTGCTTCTGGGTGGAAGGTGAAGGTACAGTGAAAGCTAACAATAATAAATAGACTTTGTCAAGATCACTACTGGTGGTTAATTTGAGCTGAGGCCTGTCCAGCCCTATGCACAGGTCGGCCGGGAGGTTGTTGTATTGAATCCGCCCTCTGGGGAGAACAGACCTGAAATGGTGTAAAGTATTTTTTTAAGCATGGTAAGTACCGAAATTTCTTTCTCAAAGGGCGCACTGATTACTAAATGACAATAGAGGAGGCAGTGGTTTGAAGTACAGGAGCATAGGAGATACATACATTAAAGATCAATTTACCGGTACACCAAATTTATTCTACCATATACAGTACGACAGTATTAGACTCAGTAGCCTCACCTACTGCATGTTAGCACAACATCTGAAGGCGTCAAGTAGCACAAGGCTAGTTTCTCTTGTACTTAGTTAGTTTATCACCAGAGATTCAAGTTCCGAATTGTACAAGTACTGCACGAAAACACATTCACGATGTTCACATTTTATAGCACAATGATTTTGGTGGTGCTGAAAAGGCAGCTACAGTACCTCCACTCGCATGATGCAAGTCTCGTAGCTAGCCGGATAACTGACATCCAGTTTCATCTTGTTTTCACTAAGGAGACCACTTTTTAACATCAAGATTTGTGATTGTAGCTGTATCTGGTTGCTTACAAACACCAAGTGAATATATAATTTGCCAACATCCCAGAATCTGAAGAGCCGGTAGATCAGCGTTTCTGCAAGTGTACCCTTTAAGAAACGATTATCCTGATCTTGGATTTCTGTGGTTTCATTGGCTAACACTCCTTTCTTGAGATTGGGAAGGTGTGCCCTTTGAGATTGGAATGTCGGTATAGTAAGCGTTCTCTTCTTCCTTTCTCTCTTGTTGTTCGTTGCTGTTGTCTTCTCAAGCAACTCATTCCTCCGTATGACCACCAGCGTATACTTTTAGGCCACTACTCCGTCCTGCAATCACACAAACCCCTAGAGCCCTAAATATACACGACACGAAACATGCACAGCTCCAGAGATAAATCTTGCCGACCGAATAGAGGCGTGGGGCGTCAGGATCTCCTAGGCCTGTGCTCTTTCCGCAGCAACTACAGTCAATCACGAGCGGGCTGCAGATACCGCGAGTGTGTGATCTCTTCTTTAGAGACCTGTGCTCTTGTCCGTGACCGCTGCAGCTACCACGAGCGGGCTGCTGATACCGCGAGTGCGTGACCTTACGGGACTTCAGATACCCGCGTCTTCACACCCGACGCGTCCACTAGCTCAGTACACACGCAATAAGCAATACACTCGGTTTCAATCTCTTTATTTGCGTACGTCGCCGGCACGGCGGAGCCGCTCGACCACTAGGTGCTAGCGCACTTCGCAGCTAATCTCTTCCTAGTTCACTGGAGCACTTGCGCACTTCAGTGTGAATCTAGAACTGATTCACTTCCCTCACGCTGACCTCCAGGTTCACGTCGACTTCGTCGTGCCTCCCCTGAGTATCGTCCATCTGCATATTGGCATCTGCTTCGTACCACTGTCTTCCTCTGTCTTCACTCAAAAGGGCGCGGGCAAGATCCTCACATCCGTGGGTCAGCCTCGGCAACCCGTCAATCTTCAAATCGTCTCCGCTCTCCGCCATCTGCTTCTTCTCATCGTTGTTCATGTAATTCGTACGTCTTCTTGCTCCACTCGGGACCCTGCATCTTCCAAGAGGATTTCCATCCTCTTACTCTCTTTCCCCTTTCCACTCGAATCGTCCTCGATTCTCGCCGTAGATTGTGATTTGTTTGTCCCACCTAATCAGTTGCCGCTGTTCCGCTACTGTCACGTGTTGTTGCTGCGCCACGATCTCTCCGTCCTCCTCGATCGTCATTCCGCTCACTCCCAAGTCTTCCTTCGCGCCACAGATGCTCAAAGTCTTTGAAGTTGATCCACAATCGCTCTGGTCTTCCTCCGTCATGGAGATCTCCCAGGCGTTTCACTTCGAATTCCAGTACGTAACGCCCCGTACGGCATCTGTACCTTCGCCTTCTACGCTCCACCACGGTGCCGGTAGGTCCAATCCTGGCGAGACGTGAGTGTATAGATACGAGCCTATCAACTCCTCGACGACCTCTATTGGCAAAGACATAGATCCTCGGCTCTTCGTCTTCTTCGTGGGCGATCCGTCGGAGTTCTCGCTCAAGCTCCTCGAGTTCGTGCTGCTCTCGTCGTCGTACATGTCCGCTGCTGACCGCTTGACTCTCCGGTTCTCTCGCGGTTTGTTTGCTGCCTTTACCTCCTCTGCCATAGCCAGTGCCGCTTTGACTTTCTGATCCCACAGGTACTGTTCTCGTTTCGCTCGTTCCAGTGCTTCCGGAGACTTCTTGCTCGCGTCCTTCGACGTCCTTGCGTTCTGTTCCGCGATAGGGAGCTCGTCGAATCTTGGAACGGGTTCTGCTGGCGATATTACCGTCTCGTTCTTCGTACCCCACTCGTCGTCCTTCATACTCGCGTTGCCATCTGCCGTTTGCTGTCGCGGGTTCTGGCTCGCCATCAGGTTCTTGCTGCCCGCTGACACCTTCTGGTTCGTCGTCGCTCTCGCTCTTGTGTTCTGCTCCGTACGGGTATCTGGCTTCAACTGGTGAATCCACAATTGCCGCTACTGGTGTTCGGTTCACATCTGTTGGTCGCCTTCCATCAGCCTGTGTCTCTTCCCGTCTTATTCTCGTCTCAGCGCTGCCTTCCTCTTCTGGAGCTTCCTCGGCTGCTGCGATAGCTTCATCTCTCAGGTTTAGGGCCATGTCTTCGGTCATCTCCTCCAGCAGGTGAGTCGGGTAATAATAGCTCAACAGGAAAGAGCAGTGGATCACTAACTCATGTCCCGATTCCAGCATCTGCACCAGGTAGTTATCATAACCAGCTGCCTCCACAATTTTCCCAGGTCCTCGCCATCGGTGTCCAAACTTGGTGATCCCTGGGCCCTTCGCTGGGCGGTAGACCCACACAAGTTGTCCAACCCGGAAGTTGCTTTTTCTTCGTACGTTGCGTTGGTTATAACACATGGCTTGTCTCGCTTGTTCTTTTTCCAGTGCTACTGCCGCTAATTATTGCGCTTTCTGCAGGTCTTGCATCAGGACTTCGTGATAGTCGTCCAAGGTGCTATGAGGAAACTCCAATCTGCTTCTGCGCAGCAGCTCTGCTGGGGTACGTAGCTTCCTTCCCATCATCAGCTCATTTGGTTGATAACCGTGTGTTGTGTGTCTCGAGGAGTTGTAGGCGTACAGCGCACTTGGCAAGAAATCGTCCCAGTCATCCTGTTGCTCGTCCACGTACAGGCTAATCATGTCTTTTCACGTTCGGTGGAATCGTTCAACGAGTCCAAGCAAATTCGGTCGGTACGGTACAGGTGTAGACTGCTTCGTTTGCATTAGGTCCAACAGCTCTGCTGTCACCTTGCTACCAAATTCTCTTGCCCCGTCCATCATGACCTCACGCATTGGCCCAAACACCAAGACAACCTTCTCCATCAGAAATCGAGCGATCGCCTTCGACGTGTGATTCTTCACTGCCACTGCTACCGCATATCCAGTGGTGTATTCCACGTCCGCAATGACGAATCGATTGCCTTCCCCTGTTTCTGGCAATGGACCCGCTACGTCAACAGCCCAGCGATCTCCTACTGCTCCGATTCTCACGCTCCGTAATGGTGGTACCACGGCTTTAGGTCTAGCCTTCTTCGACCCGCAGTCTTGACACGCGGAAGTCCAACTCTGAACGGCTTCCCGCATCTGTGGCCACCAGTACATCCGCTGCAATCTCTCCATCGTCTGTGGCCCCCTCAAATGCCCGGCCCAAATGCTGTCGTGAGCCTCTTTGAATGCTAGCGCCCAATAAGTCGTAGGCAGAATGATCCGACTGCCTTCCGACTTCAGCTCTACCCGTACAAGTCCATCGTCGTCGACAAACACACGCTGTCCTCGGTAAGTTCCTCTCTCCTTCAGGGTATTCACCATCACTGACTTGCCCTGTTCTCGTTTGATGTCTTCGTCTGTGAATTGGACAGTTCCCAGCTCGGCTGCTTCTACTCGCTACACTGCCGCTGTTCGCGTGAGGTGCCTAATAGCGTCACCGATGCCTGCCTCCAACTCCGTGGTTTTGCCCTCTTCGTCATCGTCTCGTCCGATCATGGGGTCGTCCGCGTCCTTCCTCTTGTTATCAGCCCCGTCACTCAGGTCAACAGGTCCTCTAGACAGCGCGTCCGCTACATGGTTCTCGCGGCCAGGCCGATATTGAATATCAAAGTCATATTCCTGCAGCGTAAGTGCCCATCTGTGTAATCTTCCAGCCGGCTCCTTGGTCACCATCAACCACTTCAATGCCACGTGATCTGTCACTATGGTGAAATGTCTTCCGTACAGGTGAGGTCGGAAAAGTCTCACTGCCCAAACCACTGCCAGACATTCAAGCTCCGAAATACTATAGTTCGCCACTGTAGGATTGTTCACTTTAGATGCATAGGCCACTGGTTGATCTCCGTGCCCTTCATCCTGGGATAACACTGCCCCCAACCCCGGCTTCAAGGCGTCCGTAGTCAGCTTGAAAGGAAGCCGATAATCAGGGTATATCAGCACTGGTTTTTGACTCAGCCATGCCTTGGGCCAGGCGAATGATTCCTCCTGTTCTGCTCCCCATCTCCATTCGACTTGCTTCCGCAATAAGCTGGTCAAGGGCGCCATCTTGGTGCCAAATTCAGGTACAAATCGTCGGTAGTAACCCGCCAGAGCTACAAACCTCCTCACTTGGGCGTCGTCCGTCGGTTTCGGGAAGTCTACTATAGCTTTAATAAGTCGCGCAGTAGGCTGTATCCCCTTCGGTGTTAGGTCATGCCCTAAGTACTCCATTTGGGTAGTTGCGAATGAGCACTTCGACGCCTTCAAGCTCAGCCCAGCGTCCGCCAATCTCTCTAGTACCACCGCCAATTCCACTACGTGCTGTGCCACTGAACCGCTGGTGAAGATGATCACATCGTCCAGGTATACCAAGCAACAGATCCACGTGAGTCCTCGTAGTACACAGTCCATCAGTCGTTGGAAGGTGCTGGGCGCGTTACAGAGTCCAAAAGGCATCCGTGTGAATTGGAAGAGTCCTCTCCTGGTTGTAAACGCCGTCTTCGGTTTGGCCTTCTCAGCTACCCCCAACTGCCAATATCCTGCGTGTAAGTCCAAGCTGGAGAACCTCTGAGCTCCGTGCAGGGCTTCCAAAGTCTCGTCCACTCTCGGTAGCGGGTACACGTCCTTGATGGTCACTGCGTTCAAGGCCCTGTAGTCGATGCAGAACCTGACGCTGCCATCTTTCTTCTTGACAATCACCACTGGGAATCCCCAGGCGCCTTCACCATACTCGATCACACCTTGATTCAGCATCTCGTCCACCTCCTTGTCGATCAGCTCGTTCTCGGCCACCGCATGCCGGCGCCTCCGCATCATGATCGGGGCAGCATCTCCTGTGTTAATGTGGCGCTCCACGCCTATTGTCGCCAATGGTGGGCATCCCTGCTTCTTCACCACTATCTCCGAGTACTGCCTCAACAGAGCAATCACCAAGTCCTTGTCCTTCGGCTCCATCTCGCCAATGTCCAACTTGTCTTCATCCTTGAGGGGCTCAGCATCTTTCTTCCGCAGTGTCTTCACCCACTTGGCTACGCGCTCCCGCTCTAGTTCCCCGTTCAGCTCCAATAGCTGCATATCCTCCGTCACGGGTATCCACGTGCCCAGAGCTTCTCTCGCCGGCAGCTTTTCACGCCGACCTTCCACATTCATCACTGAGATTCGTACCATCCCATTCTTCTCAGTGTCAACGGTGGGTGCGAGCAACATATGTCTTCTATGAGTCGGCTTCGGTACGAAGATCCCTTCGGTGCCATCATCCGTATCCACTCGCATGTGAACCACATTGCTGGTGCTATTCGCTAATCTCCGTGTTTTCGCCAGACGCACCATCACCTTCCTAGGCTGCAAGCTCGTAACTCCATGGCACGTAAACGGCCAAATCACCTTCTCCCCAGTGTTGCTAATTTATTTCAGCTCTCGCTTGCCGAAGTCCATCTTGATCTGGTGCCGCACCATCCAATCTTCATCGACGAGGAGTTCATCTCCCTGTTCCTCCACTAGAAGTGCGTCGACTTGTATTCTTTGCTGGAGCGGTGTAGTGCCCACAAATCGCCAAACTTCCAGGACTCGGCAGATGCCTCCGCCAAATCCTTCCACGATGTCCACTGGTGCGTTCCGCATGATGCATCTGCCATACTTCTTCAGTTCTTCGCCGGCTACACTGTACTGGGCGCAGCTATCCAGCCGAACCTCTTGCGTGTGTTTCCGTGTCAGTGCCAGCAATGCTGTAGGAAAACAGTTCAATCCATCACTTTCCACTGCTCGTAATGGTGCGACTCTCACTTGGTTGCCATTGCTGTCATCTCTCAGTTCCACATCGCCGTAGCACCCATGTTGCTTGTACTCGTACGTACGCCGAGGCTTCTTCCGCACTACCGAATTCTTCTTTACTGGCTCGGCGCTTCCCGATAGTAATTCCTTCCGCTGCTGAAGCCGTCGAAGCCGTCTCGCGAACCGGAAACGCTTGGCTTTCTTTACCGCTTCCCTTCTGGCAGCTCGCATCTCTGCTAATGACCCTGGTTCAATCAGCTCATCAGGTGCCTCTTCCTCAAACCTCGCAACTTCCTTCAGCCATCCACTCGTCGAGAACTCGCCAGTACTCGTCGGTGGAGCATCCCCATCTGTTTTGCCGTCCGAGGTGTTCTTGTCCACGAACGCGTTCTTACCGGCCTGCTTCTTCTTTGCTGCTTCCACCCGTTTTACTGCCTCTGTGGCGATCTGCGCTTCTCCTCGACGCTGTTTCGGCTGTTCCAGGTCAACAGGTATCCGTAGATCTTTAATCAGCTGTCGCACTCGCGTCCTTAGTACCTTCGCACGTGCTTCACGCTTCATGGCTAGCTCTGCGACCAGAATGCCTTTGCCTGCCGCAACCTCATGTTCAGCTCGTCTTTTCCTCCGTCTGGCCGACGCCGTCCGTCCAGCACTTATCGGCACCGTCTGGCGCTCAACTGCCGCTGGGACTGCCGTCACCTGTTCTCTGGGATCCGCAGCCACAGCATCCGCTGGTTTGTCCGCTTCTTCCACTGCTTCAACTCTAACGGCTTGCTCACTCGTTACCGCCGGGGTCTCTCCTCCTTTCTCGGCTGCATCAGCCTCTCCCGCTCTCTCCTGTCGGTCGATCTCCACCACATCATCACTTCCACTCGCGCCAACCGCCTCACTCTTCCCCTGCACTGAACTACCCAATGTGTCACACGCTCTCACAGTCAGGCCTTCCGGGCTTCCGCTCTTCCCCTGGACTGAACCAACTATCTCGAAGCCGTCGTCTTGGCGCTCCGTCCACCGTCGCTTGCGCTTGGTGTTCCTCCTCTTGGCTCGTGTACGGCCGCTTCTCATTTCTTCTTGTTCAGCGTCGGGGTGTCCTTCGGTCGCGAACAGCAGAGTCCCCATCTCTACTGTCGCTGGCCATTTCCCGGAACTACTGCTGACGTCGTTGCTGGAGCTGCTGGTGTCGTGGCTGCCTGGGGCTTCTCCTCTCCCACTACTGCTAGTCGTCACTTGCGCGGGCTGCTGGTGTTGCCGCTGTGCGGGTTGTTGTCCGTTCAAGTCCTTCAGCCGTGTTCTGCACTCTCGCCACCAGTGTCCAGGCTTGCCACAGTAACTACATCTCGTACTCGCTTTTCGCTGTTGGATCTCTGGCGTGTCCATCGGTCCATAATGTCCACTTCCCCGAGTACTTCCGCGTCCGCCTCGTTCCTGCCAGTTTGGGTTTGCCGGTCGTTTCGAGTGGAGCTGGTAATCATCTTCTCTAGTGGCCTCGTGTGATTCGGCTTTCATCTCGAACACTCGTGCCTTTGGCTTCGTTGCTGCTGGCTTCGTTTCTTCAGGACCACTGCGGGCTGTCAATATCAGTGCTTGCAGAGCTGCAATAGACAGTGGGTTTTCTCCCTGCTGACTTCTCCCATCGATTAATAGCGCCGCCTTCAGCGTCGAACATGGGCTGTTCTTCGCTCGCTGCCAGTCCACCCAGGCCCAGTTTCGCCCAGTCACTCTGGTCTATCACCGCCTTAGCCGAAGCTTTCCGTTTGGCTGCCGGAGCTTCATCCGCGTTGCTCGCTATTGCTTCGTCGTCACGGTACCGCTTTTGAGCCACTCGCCAGTCCGTCACTTTCACTCCTTCGCCATATACTCCGCTCGCATCCTCTGCCAGCTGTACAGCATCGTCCAACGTCTGCGGATGGTGGCCTCTTGTCTGCATTCCTACCATCTCGTTGTTAATGCCGTTCATGAACGCCTCCACGTACGACTCCTCAGGAACTCTCTTGCCGAAGCCAATCTGTCTCAGTCGACCGGCGAAATCACCAAGTCGTTCCCCTGGCTGTTGCACTCGCGCTACCAGTTTCTGCTGTGTCCTGAACAAGTTATCCCGGCTGCCGTACTTCTTGCGGAGCTTCTTAACCAAGTAGCTGAGCGTCTTGTCCTCCTCTCTCATAGTTTCCGTCAGCGTCGTCAGCCAGTCGCCTGCCTCCCCTTGCAAATGTGCACTGACACCCAAGTACAGTTCGTCTGCCGTCCAGGTATTCCCGCCTAGTCCTGCCTGCCGCTCAACTTCCTGCGGTATCTTCGCCAGCCATGCCTCAATTGATTCCCTCGGTTTCCCATGGAAATCTGTTAAGTTCAGCGTCTTCATCCTTGCTCGAGGTGCGGGGGTCGCAGGTGCTTGGACTATCACCGGCTGTGCAGGTGCTGCAAGTGGTGGCTGTATCAAGAACCGCTTCATCATCGCTCTCTGCTGTGGGGCTGTCAGTTGATCCCACCAGTTCATCGTCTCCAAGTCATCACCCTGTTGGTTAGGCGCTGCTGGTGCCGCCGCTCTAGCTGGTGGAGCACTGCCGCCTGGTTGATTGCCTCTTGCGGGTAGATTAGCCTGCGCTCTTCCTCCATCGTTTTTTCCCGCTCGGTTAACGTCTTGGGCTTGGTTGTCGCTGTCGCTGTCGTCAGCAGGGTCTCTTAGGGCGGGTCTCATTGCCGCTACTACAACTCCGCTGCTCACTGCAATCTCGTCATTCTCGTGGACACTGTCGTCATCATCCGCTAGTTGAATACGGGTTCTCGGACGTCTAGCACGCTTTGGCGTGGTCGCTTGTCTTCTCGTAGGCGTTCCTGCCATAGACGTACTGTTTCTCGGTGATGATCTCGTGCTCACCATTACTCAATCCTTCTGTTTTCCTCTTCTTATCCGCCTCCTGCTATCCGTTCAGGGGTCTGTGCTCAATCACTCTCTGCTTCAGATCCGCTGTATCTAATTCCGTAGCCCAATCCGTGGACTTCCGTGGATCGCTTTCCCCTCACTCGCCGCTTCCAGCTAGGTTCGTGCCTCTGGGCCAAGCCTCGTGAAGGTCTCGATGTTCTCAAGAGCCAACCGTGTTAGAAGGCCCCTGTATGACCACCAAGTAAGCGTTCTCTTCTTCCTTTCTCTCTTGTTGTTCGTTGCTGTTGTCTTCTCAAGCAACTCATTCCTCCGTATGACCACCAGCGTATACTTTTAGCAACCACTACTCCGTCCTGCAATCACACAAACCCCTAGAGCCCTAAATATACACGACACGAAACATGCACAGCTCCAGAGATAAATCTTGCCGACCGAATAGAGGCGTGGGGCGTCAGGGTCTCCTAGGCCTGTGCTCTTTCCGCAGCAACTACAGTCAATCACGAGCGGGCTGCAGATACCGCGAGTGTGTGATCTTTTCTTTAGAGACCTGTGCTCTTGTCCGTGACCGCTGCAGCTACCACGAGCGGGCTGCTGATACCGCGAGTGTGTGACCTTACGGGACTTCAGATACCCGCGTCTTCACACCCGACGCGTCCACTAGCTCAGTACACACGCAATAAGCAATACACTCGGTTTCAATCTCTTTATTCGCGTACGTCACCGGCACGGCGGAGCCGCTCGACCACTAGGTGCTGGCGCACTTCGCAGCTAATCTCTTCCTAGTTCACTGGAGCACTTGCGCACTTCAGTGTGACTCTAGAACTGATTTACTTCCCTCACGCTGACCTCCAGGTTCACGTCGACTTCGTCGTGCCTCCCCTGAGTATCGTCCATCTGCATACTGGCATCTGCTTCGTACCACTGTCTTCCTCTGTCTTCACTCGAAAGGGCGCGGGCAAGATCCTCACATCCGTGGGTCAGCCTCGGCAACCCGTCAATCTTCAAATCGTCTCCGCTCTCCGCCGTCTGCTTCTTCTCATCGTTGTTCATGTAATTCGTACGTCTTCTTGCTCCACTCGGGAACCTGCATCTTCCAAGAGGATTTCCATCCTCTTACTGTATGATGCTAGGGGCTCAGTCTTTTGTAGAAATAATTGCACGGCTTACTGGGAACTTAGCATTTTGTAGCGACTGGTCTAAATAAAAACCCAGATTTATGAAATTAAAGAAGTCAATTTAGGCACAGGGGGGTTCAGAGTTTTTGGAATAATTATCCTGCCTCCGCTTCGCTTCGGTGGGAAGACAAACGTCTAGAATAAAACCTAAACTACCGGCGGCGCTCGGCTAGTGTGATTCGCAGTTGCACTCCGTATTGTCTGCCAGTTGCGATAACATACGTACGAGAAAAGCAAAACTGCGAGAGAAAAATACAATATGCCGAAATTGATTGTTGGTCGCAACTGAAGAAGGAGTCACCTCCCAGCCAATTCTCTCGAGAGACGAGAAGTCAGCAACACGATACACAACACTGCGTGGAGTAGGCTGTGCAGTATAGCATTTGCACAACTTTAATTAGAATACGCTGTGTAAACTAAGTTCATGTTTTTTTAAATCTGTTAGTAGCTGTTTTAGAACGCTGTTGCGGTTTGGAGTATTCATAGACATTCAATTTTCCCTTTTTGACGGCCAATAATGTTTTTGTCGCCAATGTCGGCAGATTTATGGTATAGTGAACTTGCAAACATAATGTTGTGGTAGTCAGTACCGATATCGCATGCGACATTAGGGTATTGTTACCAGTGTCTAATGGTAACCAAAAATCATATGATATTTTTGATATTAATAGTACTTTTTCGAAATAAACTATTAATAGTAACTTATTTTTGCATAAATTAATATAATATTTTAATATTAACTCGAAGAACTGAAAAATATTAGATACTACATAATATTTTATATTCTTTTCCCAATTAAGTACGTTTCTTGCCACGTGAACCGAGCGGAGCCAAATAACTTTTTCGATCAGGCTCTAGAAAAGGTAGTCTTTAAGACGATGAGGTATTTGCTCTAGTCGTGTCACTTTACACAGTCGAGATGGAAAAGTGCAAACGCTTGCAGCTGTTTGACGTTGATAGAGCGAAATCAAGACATTTGTTCTTGTTCTCTACCGATCTCCTCGTCCACATCGTGCGTCTAATAAACCTGCTGCCTGTGGCGCTAGATTAATGCGCTCAGCAGTGCCAACACACGACGCCAACCTTGCCGTCACTCTAACAATTGTCCCCTCCCTCACCGTTGATTAGTAATACTTCAGCTAGTCGAGCGTTAACGGCATTTGATTGGTTTAGTAGACCGATTACGCAATCGGTGAAAAATATAATATCGTATTAGCTAATATTAAGATGATATTTAATAATATCACATTATCTCAGAAGACAATATTAGGTGATATTTTTTATATTAACTGGTCTACAGGTGATATTTTCACAATATTAACTTCACCGATTTTGGAGTTACCATTAACCCCTGATTGTTACTGTTTCAACACAATATGGAATGATTACTGTAGCTCCTACAGTAATCATTCCATATTGAAATGACACGATTCTCTGGTGGATCTGCTCTCTCAACGCCATGAAATTTTTGATGCGATTCTTCGCTGTGCCCTGCCGCAAACCTTCCATTCCACAACTTTATTTGCCGACCGCAATCGAGATATCTCCATCTTTCAGGGGCTAACAAGATCCATATCGAACCCGGATTGCCACCACTCTCACTGCCATGGGGTTGTTCAACCTTGTGCTAACTGTTGCTGCTTTTATCTTGCTTGAGATTATTAGCTGCGAGGCCAAGGATGGTACTCACACAATTGTCTCGGAAAGGAAGCACTCTGGAGTAAAGTTTTCGCCCGCAGTGGTCGGAAATGGTGACAGCGACAAGAAACAGCTTTTGAGATCTCTCACCGACAGTACCGAGAGCAACGAGAAGCAAGTTGAGGAAGCTCGATCGATAAACTTGTCATTTTTGAAAAACGCGAAGAAGAACATACCTGGCCTAAAGGCTCTGAAGGCGGCAGCGGCCGCAAGATCTGCAGCAACACAAGCGAAGAAGGCTGAAAAAATCAAGATGACCAATCTTTTTAAGATCTCGGGAACAAGCGACCGGGAATTATTTCTAAAATTCAACGAGTGGAGAGCGATGAAAAAGACAGGGGTTGACGCTGTCGAAGGCGTTTTTAAGGCGATGGGAAAGGCTGGGATGACTGAAAAACAAGCTATCGCGATTGGTAACCGATACGACCGTTGGCTCAGCGTTTTCAAAGTGAGCGCTTGACGTACTGCTCACATGTAGCCTTACCGTTTAACTGGACTAAGTGGTTTCTCTGATTTTTTCGATATACTGAATCCTTTTATAACGATGTGACACCTCTTTACGAGGTCGTCTTACTGTATTGCCCATTCACGGCGGGAATTACTACTGTAGTATTTATTAATATCATCGCTTTATGATATCATATTTTCTCCTGCAGGGCAACAAAAAAAGATTAAACACACGAAATCCAGTGTCTCATAACCAGGGGCTGATGGCTACTAAAAAACAGGTATCATTTAGTTTTTAGAGTCGTAGTACTATTTCGGTATCAAATAGCAATATTAATTTAGTTTTTTTAAGTTAGCACAATTTTTTTAAATTAACTGAGAAATTTGAATAGAAGATGCTAGATGTTTTTTATGTTTTTTTTATCACTGAAGTACGTTGATAACTCTACTGAGTAAGAACTCTTTCGGCCAGGTTCTAAAACACCAGTAGTGATCGCAGGCTTTAAAACTGACGAGTATTTGCTTAACATTTCACTGTGACACAGACAAAGCCAATCGAGTTGGAAGCTGCAAACAGTTTCAGTTGTTTGAAGCCGATAGAGCGAAATAAAGGTATCTATTCTTGTTCTCTGCCGATAGCCTCGTCCGCATCGTGCGTCTTATAACCTTTAACCTGTGATGCTAGATTAATGCGCTTAGCAGTGCCAACAAACCACACCAACCTTGCCGTCACTCTCACAATTGTCCATCCCTCACTGCTGATTAGTAAAACTTCATCGTTAACGACATACATGTACAGAAGTCCCCCTGAATACGCGTAGCTAATACTTCATATACCCGTTATATCGGATCACATAGATGAGGGTACTTTAGACAAATCACAGAAGAGCTGAGAATTCCCTATGAAAATTAATCAGACGACCCCCTTTCGCGGGACTTCTGTATGACTTACAGTCGTGCACCTCGTTTTCGGCCCCGGTATGGCTTAATAACCTGCACAATCTAATGATTGCGCCACATGCATTGCGCAAATGAGTTGCCCATCTCCTTTGGACCAAATAACCTCAATGGTATTCCCCTCTTCGAGGAGGGATGAAACGCCGCACTTCCGCCACGATGTATCAGCTCAATCACTTCACCATACAGCAGCTCATTATAAATTTTGTCGCAAAACGCCATGGCACGTCGCCCGTCCGCCTATTCTACGTTGAATCTCGCCAATAAGCAAACATTGTGCAGGAAGGCAGCCACAGAGCCATCATGGACACTGTCTCAGCTCACTCAGTGGGCCACACAAGAGTTTCAAACCCACGTAAAGCGCTCCACCCTCCAAGGCATTCTAAAGCGCAAGAGGGACTACGAAGACGTCCCGAATGCTCACTGGTATTGTGTTGATGATGAATTTGAGATTTGTACTTAATTAAGGTAATACAAAGTAGTACATTTGGATTCCATGTGTTCCTCTTTAAATATTCGCAGCTCGTAGACTCTATATGGTCCACCCCGCCGAATACGAGGTGCACGACTGTATGTGTTACAATCGATTACGCAATCTAAAAAAAATAAAATATTGTATTAGCTGATACTGAAGCATTTTAAACATATCATTTTTATCTTAGAAGAAAATACTAGGTAATATTTTGTTTTATTAACTGGTTCACCAGGTGATATTATCACTAAATTAACTTCACCGATTTTGGAGTTACCATTATTAATAACCCCTGCTCACAACACTTGGATATGGATAAACTAAGCATAACTTATGCAAAGGGTAGGTGCAGTGCGTCAGGTTATATCCAGCAATTCTTTAAGTAATTTGCTTTCATTTCCAACGTCGGAACGTTATTCCAGAAGAGATAGTCAAGGGTTGACGCAAAGTGTGCATTTGCTTAATCTCAAAATAAAATGAAGACGGTTTTTATATATTTAAAAAAAATTGCCGCACCATTGGTGGTTTCCTAAATCAGCGTCTGGCAACAAGAACTCCCAAAATAAGATCCCGGACGCATTTAAAGTCATTTATGAAGCATGGCTGCACGTAGCGTTTAAGTCGTGTAGATAACACGGCACGTCACGACAGTGTCTTCGCCATGACAGAATGGAACAGTGCAGGAGCGCCGCAAAAAGCAGTTCTTGTTTTTATTAAATTCACTTTTTTCGGCCAAACACGGTATTAATAACAATGGGGACTCACATTAAAGTTTGTAATTAAATTAGTAATTTAATGTAATCAATTGCACTCGACAATAAAATGTGATACATCGACGGAATCAGATGTCTACCCACTCATGACGGAAAACGTGTGCCAGTATTTTCTAATAGTAGTGCTCACGCTCTTGTAGAATCATTCTACACTAAATGGCCCGGACTAAACAGCGTGCCTGATGGCCAGGTGTACTTCGTGAGCAAAATCCACGAAGAGGGGTCTACGGAAGGGCTGAACGTATAACCTGCTATCCTTGCTTGACAATTATGGCTCTGGTAGTAGATGACCCATCCTCCTGCTATTAATACCATGTTGAACGGGTCGGTATAGTCCGGTATCGGTCGTTTGCGTGCGCTACCCATTGCGTACGCAAACGACCGATACCGGACTGTACCAAGACGCTAGCTACACATTTACCTACAAACTTCAACACCCGGAAAGTGATCTATTTACGTGATCGTCTTACTGCAAGCTAGTGCGAGCAAAAATTAACGGGAATTTTTTATCATCGCTATATGATATTAGCGATATTTTATCTCCTGCAGGGCAACAAAAAAAGATTAAACACACGAAATACAGTGTCTCGCAGCTTCAATATCAATAAACTAAAACTACACTAATGCAAAGGGCTCAGCAATACATGTATCGCAATAACATGCCTATCATTTCCAGCGTCCAATTGTAAAAGGCTTGCCGACCTTTGTATAGAAACCAGCTTTTATTTTGGGAGTGGGTGGGTGAAACATCGACAAAGGGTTCAGCAATTGGATGTTTATCTTACAATCTGAAAATCTGTGACATTTTAGGTAAATCTAGGCACACCATCGTGATAATAGGATATTATAGTTGGTCTTCAACCCAGCTCTAATTGACTTCATTTTTAGTAAGGCACGAACTCATTTACTGCGATTGTGATGCTTCGATCACGTAGCAAGGGCGACCTTTCAAAAAAGCTTTTACAGCAAGTATGCGGCGAGGCCAAAAGAGAACCAGCCCGGCCCCAAGTGATAGCGCCGCTGTGGCGCAGTCACTGCAGTCGAAGCGAGCTAATGCGAGCACCAAACGAACCTACCAGTCAACAGTAAAGATTATGAGGACATGGCTTGCTCAACAATATCCAAGTACTGTCGATGCAGATACTCATGAGCTGCGCGTGTAACGGGGTACGTACCGTGTGCCACCACCACCGATCCAGGAGCAGCAGCGACTCGGGTACGAATGTGAGCTAAGCGATACAATTGTTTTCAGAACCCCCGTTGACCGAAAGCGACGACCTGGAGAGCAGCACCGAGTTTTAACTGCCCCTCCTGAAGACCGATTAGTCGTACGTGAACCAACTAGAAGCGCACCAGTGACTGCACATGATTATCACGGAGTTCACCAACTAGTCGTTCGGCAGCGCAACGAAAACTGGATGAGTGAACCGGAGCCAAAGCGACCACGCCTACAACTAATGGAGCAGGCCAATTTGTCGGAGGAGGTACCGAATTCGTATCGTGAAGCGTTGGCGTCGGACGCCAAGGACGAGTGGTTTACGCGTGAGCTGTACTCACTTGGTGAACATGGAGTTTGGGAGATTGTGCGAGCACCAGCGGACACGAAGCTTGTCGGGTGCAAATGGGTATTTGTGTTGAAGCGGAACGAAAAGGGAGAAATTGTTCGGTTCAAGGCCAGATTAGTCGCCCAAGGTTTTAGCCAAACTTTCGGTATCGACTTTGATGAGACGTATTCTCCCGTAGCAAACATGGCGTCGATCAGGATGTTCATGGCGCTGTGTTGCCAGCTAGGTTACATGATTGAACAGTGCGACGCTGACACTGCATTCTTGTACGGCATTTTGAAAGAGGTGATTTACATGCGTGTGCCCGAGGGCGTGCCGCACCAACCGGGCGAAGCGTGTCTGCTGCAACGGAGTTTGTATGGCCTTCGACAGGCATCCGCAGTTTGGTACAAGACCATTCGGAACGCGTTCAAGGACCTTGGGTTTAAGCAGTGCAAAGCCGACCCGTGCATTTTTGTGAAACAGAGCGGCAGCAATTTTGTGTACGTGACGCTGTACGTAGACGACTTGTTGATCGGAGCTCGCTCAAAAGCTGAAATCGCGGTCGTGAAGCAGTCTCTAGCATCCCACTTCAAGATGAAAGATTTGGGTGCGGCGCGATTCGTGATTGGCATGGAGGTACAGTACAACATGGCGGAGAAGCGCCTAGCGCTATCGCATAAACCGTTTATCTTGCGGCTGATCAAAAGGTTTAACCAGAAGGACGCGCACGGTGTGCTGAATCCCTGTGACAAGAGCCAAGTGATGACGAAGTTGAAGACACCGGCATCTGACGAAGAGCAAGAGCGGATGGAGCGCCGGCCGTATCGATCATTGATCGGATCACTGTTATACATCGCGATGGGGACGCGACCGGACATTTCGTTTGCAGTGGCACATTTGAGTCGATTTTGTGAGGAGCCGAGAGAAGTGCATTGGAACGCAGCGATTAGAGTAGTTCGCTATTTGAAGGCTACTATCGACTACGCCATTCAGTACCGTGGCGACAACAGTGGAGTAGTGAAGCTTACCGCGTGGAGCGACGCTGACTGGGGCAGCAGCGTGGACACTCGCAAGTCTTCTAGTGGTGTACTAGTCTGTATGGCAGGAGGCCCCGTCATTTTCAAGTCGAAGATGCAGCGCACTGTGGCACTTAGCTCCGCGGAGGCAGAATATATGGCGATGGCGATGTGTGCACAAGAGGTGCTGTGGGCGAGAAGCCTTTTGAAGGAGATGGGACACCAGCAAACAAATCCGACTACAATTTGCGAGGACAATCAGAGCGCGATGGCGATCGCTAAAAACGCTGGGTATCAAGCGCGAGCTAAACATGTCGATATCAAGCTGCATTTTGTGCGTGATCATCTTGAGAGCGGCAACATTGACTTGCAGTACGTACCGACCAAGACGCTGCTAGCTGACTACTTAACGAAGGCCCTACCGAAGAAGACATTTCTCGACCTGGTGACGAAGAGCGGTGTATACGCAGCGAGTTGAGGGGGGAGTGTTGAAGTTGCTACTAGCAAATCCACGTGAGGCAACTAGCTGCGATCGGCACGCGAGAGAGACACTGCGAACAGTACAAACAGGTGTGTTTGCAGGCTCGAGAATGTTCGAGAGTAGAGAATTCTAGAAGCACAGATAGAGCTAGCAGTAGTGAGGATGTTAGTTGCTAAACGACAAATACGATCACAGTGTGAAATCTACGCGTTGTCGTTTG